AGCTACGCACCCGCGGCTCTCGTCGCTGTGCTACACGCCTAGCCTACATACGTTCACACCTACGAGATTATGTAAAGAGGAAAATGACACGACAACTAAGATCAAATTTTTACTACAATAAAAATACACAAAACTTGAAAATGTTACTTTGGTATACAGAGACTTTGGGTATGAGTTTTATTTGATTGTAATGTAGTTGCTTTATATACTCAGTGACGTATTAAAGGTAGGGCTCGATTGGGCGCCCGCATAGGGCGCATACTAAAAACGCCACAGATCCGCAATTTACTCGCAACACAAATAGAGGGCCCCGTAAACTTCTCTCCCAGGGCACTTGTAAGCCTAGAACTTTGAATGTGCCTTATCACATCAATATTAAGGCGATGTGTGTGATAACGCCTGTGCCTATGTGCTCTATGTTTTAAAAAAAGAAAGGTTTGCATGAGGGGAAATACGCTAGCGGGGATTACCCGGCTATACAGCACCGGCCGCTGCTCAAGGCGAACGGCTAACTCGTCGCTCCTCACTTTTCGGTTCTCGCTGTCGTGTCGTACGCGCAATATATCCACAATGCGTTATCATGTATCATTAAGTAAAGCTATTAACATTCTTATCAATAATTCAAAGCCTCGGCTGACGTCACATGTGAATGTAACTTAGACTTACGCAATTACTTACAACGACTGAATAGTGTTAAAAACCTTATCTAAAAGCTTTTTTGACATTTATATTTTCTTATAATATAGGAAGAAAGAAAATTAGACTAAAATTATAAGCCTTTATCTGAGTGCGTCTACCAAACTTTGGCTTGCTACACGCACACAAGGAAAATGTAGAAAATGCTACGCCAGAAGTTCCCAAGCCGAGAGCTCCAACAATTATTTTTTTGTACTTAAAATTAGATTTGTATACCTAAAAATTAATTCCTGTAGTAAATTATAATATCCTAAAGTTCTAAGACGAGATACTATCTCCAACATCAGTATTCAATTTACTTTGAATAAAATAATTAAACAAATAAATAAAATTATTTATCTATGCATCATTATTGTGCTTAAAATGATGAAAATATATATAAAATTGCATAACATTAATTGTATTTCGTCGTAGCCTCATTACCATACGCGTGCTAACGCCGTTCTCAGTAACTATTTACCTGCTCACTGCATCTTTTTAGCCAGATCATATCTACGGGGTTTCACCGCGCGGACGTGTCTTAAATTATATTTCTGAATATAGACACCCGTAAATTAAACTATTAAATAACTATAATTATAAAAATAAATAGTTACTGTATATTTTTAACAACGTGCATCTTGCAAACTAGAAATGTTTTGTCTTAGACATCGTTTAGATTAAATAGAAAAATGTCATTTTTCGAAAAGTTCGATTATTAATAAAAAGAGCCTACTGTTAACAATATTTTCATACGAATGATGAACATGATACATGATACTTCTCCTTAAATTTAAAACTTTAAAGAAAAAAAATTGTTAAATAAATTTAAAAACTTGAAATGATTTTTTTTTCTATTTAAGACATATGTGTATGTGGGGTATTTAAAAAAGAAATAATGCATATGTTTTAGGAAAACACGAACTGGAGCCTGCGCAAGACACAGGCTGACCGCGACTAATTGTTTAACTAATTTTGTATTAACAAATAACTGCATATGAATACAATGCTCACACTTGATATTACACGTTTAAATTGACACCTTTATTAAGGGTACTCTCACATATCGGAAACCAATATCCTACTCCCATAGAGACAACGGACCAGGTTCCTCCACACAAATGGATTTGACGGAGGAGGAGACGCATAGGAAAAGGAAATGTCTTCTTTATATGCGTCTCCTTCTCCGTCAATTAAGGGTAGGCAACGCATCTTCAATTGCGGATGTTTATGGGCAGCGGTCGCTTTCCATTTCGGTGGATTCAGGTGGCCACTTGCTCGCGTGCCACCTTTTTATTATAAAAAAACAATATTTGTTGCTGTGTCCAGTAGAAGCTCTGTTCTCACGGGGCGTGTTGCGGGCTGTGGGTGCGCGCCGCAGCGGCAGCACGCAGCACGTGCTCTAACAGGAAAACTCTGACGTATACTATAATGATTATTTTAATTGGCTGTATTAATCCATATCAGAGGTTTTAATGTATGCCAGACAAAACGTGATCATACTAAGGAAATTACTATTATTAACATTACACGCATTTATGTTCAACATTCGTTATAAATTACATTGCGAGTACAGCAGAGTATAGCTAGGTAACATATGTTACATGAGTCCTGGAGTTTCGGCATACTAACCAGCGTTGGTAACGAGCTCGCCAAATCCAGAAAAAAATTGTATTCTATGTTCAAAAAATAGAAAAAAAACTAATATTATAAATGCGTAAGTTTAGATGGACGTATGGATGGATGTTTGTTAGAGTTTATAACCTAAACTGCTAACGGATTTCGATGAAATTTGGTGTAGATGTAGTGAATAGTCTGGAAGAACAGATATGTTACTTACTTTTGTTTTTTCTAATTCCACGTAGATGGAGTCCCGGGCGAAAGCTAGTATGTATTTTAACGCGTATATTGCTCCGTTGAAGTTTACTAAAAATTGTTATTTTACTACATAAGATGATACAAATTGAATTACAAAAATAATTAAGTTAAATAAACATTTATGAGGAAAACCCTTCAGACGAATATAAAAACTCCAAGGAAATCCTAAACAACACATGATTAAGACACAAGGAAACACCTAACTTGCATAATATTATTTGCAACAGTTTTTCCTACTATATTCATATCCTAGCATCATTCATTCACACAACTTTAAGGATAAGCACCATTTTTAAGGGTTAAACACATTACTTGACTTTTTTGTCAGGAATATAGGGTTGCCAAAAATAGTTTATTACATTTTTTAAAGTCGCATTTAAAATGCAATGTATTTTTAGTGTTTCCTCTAAAACAATCCATGGTTGGTTCATAATGATACAGATTTACATGTAACATGTTTATTATTCTGATCACATCGCGCTCACAAAGTCAACAAGTAGGTACAAAAGCTACACCTGCGTATTTTATGCACTA